TGTGCATGTGTATTTGAGACATGGTCTTACTGTGTAGCCCAGGTTCACGTTAGCCTAGAACTCATGGTAATCCTCCTGCCTCAGCTTCCCAAGTGCTGGAATTAGTAGGTGTAAGCCACCATGCCTAGAAAAGAACAGTTTAAAAATGTTTTGATTAACATATATTAATTATACATAATAATGAGTTTCATTGGAACAGGTTTTGAGGGTGAAAGATGGCTTTTTTTCTTTTTGAAATAAAGTTAGATACAGACTTTATAATCTAGGAAGGCTTCGAATGTGTTTTTCTTTCACCACATCTGGAAGTCAGTAATCAAAGAAATGATTTGTAATAAGCAAGTCCTCATAGAACGTGTCCAAATAAATAAAGTTAAACAGGACTGAGCAACATTTAAGCCCAAACTGCCTCATCATTTAAAATGGGAAGAAGGAGAATTTTAAAACCTTGATTAAAATGAAGACTGGATAAAGGGAGAAGGCTAATATAATAATGCAGGTTAAAAGAACAAAACCGCCATTGCCTTTTGATGTCAAGTTCCATTTCTTCCCTGACGTTTATGTAGTCAGTTACATCTCAGTCTCTTTTCTACTGTGAGTGGGAAAGAGAAAAAAAGATGAAGAGAACAGAAGGAAGAAAGGGAACCGGGTTGGACAGTCCACAACTGCTCTTTCCATCTCTCAAGTCAGATAGAGATTTGAGTACCAGGTAGCAAGATGGGGCGAAACTAAGGGCACATTTGAGAGATAGCCACAAGGTTAGTAAGTCTGTAACTTCAAGTCCGTAAGTTTCTTTGTGTGCATCAGTAGCACAAAAGCCTACTTTCCGAATTGCATTTCTTTAGAGTTAGTCATCTTGTTTTTATTTTTTGGAGGGGAGGGGTCCAGATAGTAAAAAGAAATGCTGTTTTGTTTCCACCTTGAAGTTAGTTAAGCAGGGAAGGAAGATACACACACATATGAGTGGTGAGTGCCATCCGGGCACTCAAAGGGCTTAAAGTTATCATTTGACAAAGTGCCTTGGGAGATGACTGATGTCATTCAGAGAGGACCTGTGGGTGGGTGTCCCTCAGCTGACTTCCTCTTTCCTCTCTCTGCTAGGACCTTCCTCATTCAAACGTGTAATCCCAGCCCAGACAATTCCAGTTCTGGGTGTTTCTTAAGCAAATAGAGAAATCCATGCCAGCGTTAGAGGTTGCCACCTTGTAGAAGTCCTGTTCCAGAACAAGACCTCATGGCTTCTCTGACTCAGTCCAACTTCTTGTGTGCCTTTGATTTTCACCTCTTTCAGCTCCTGAAGCACACACCTCTTTATGTAGAAGGGCATCTATATGTACAAGTAGAGCCCATGCTGTGCTGTTGTGTTTTCTAATCATCTACCTTGCAAGTTGTGGCACTTTCTTAAGCACAGTCATACTCTCCTGTCATCATCGCTCAGGTTAGGTCTTACTGCTTTAAGTATATGGAAAACTTTTGGTGACTGGAAGATCTATCAGCGGCTTCCCCAGGTCTTTCCTGTCCCCAAGCCTGAGTCCAGCAACTGGCAGGCAGGTATTTAGTAAGTGCTGTGGAATGCAGAGCAATACCTCCAATATGACTATATCCAAGGTGAAAAAAAAGTTATAAGGGGCTGGAGAGGTGTCTCAGTGGTAAAGAAGGCTTGCTGCTCTTGCAGAGTTTGGTTTCCCACAGCAGGCAGGTAACGACTGTCAATAACTTCAGATCCAGGGGATCCAATCCCTCCTTTTGGCCTCTGTAGGCACCTGAATGCATGTGTACATACACAGATACACATTAACAACAACAACAATAATAATGTCCATGAGTCAAAGGGCTGAACGGAAGGTTTCCACACAAGGTGAAGGCACGCTCCCCTAGAGAGGGCAGAGGGAGTGACCCTCTTTAGACATCTGCTGTGTGCTGGGGACTGGTCTACATACTGTTCACCCATCTTTGTTGACACAGTAGTCCTTTGCTTGTTTGCATTTTAGAAATGAAGGAATTGAGCAAAAAAGGGTTAAATAACTTGTTCAAGTTTGTAGTTGAGTTCCATCCTGAGGCAGTTTGAGTGTAGAACACGTGCTCTCACCTTTTTAGACTATATTCTATTCTTCTAGAAGCTTTATTGTTTTATTGGACACTTAAATCTCTTTACTTTTTTAGTTTTGTCCTCCCTCATATGTGGATCCTAGCACCAAATCCTGATAAGTGAGTATGTATCCAGACATAACTATAGGAACCAGGATAATGAAAAGGAACCAGGGAGGTAAAGGAAAAGAAAGAATCTTAAAGAGAAGAACAGTAGGAAACAGGCATTAATAAGGGAAATATGAATAAAAATGGGGTTATTTTAAGGGGATGGGGGAGGGAAGGTTATACAAGGAACCTAGGGGATAAAGGGAAAGAAGGAGCTCAAGAGAGGTGGGACCATAGGAGAAGGGTATTATTAAGGGAGAAATCTAAAAAATTGGGGCACCTTAAATGGGGGAAACCATGGTGGAAGGGTTAGACAATGCAAGAGATAAATGCCTAGCTAGTTTTAAAAAACCAGAAGGAACCATATTAGCCCAACAACCTATTGACAAATTATATATACAACTAGATCAAAGAATATATGTCTAGGCAAGGTTTATCTGAGAGTGTTTGATCTTTGCCCAAGCTTTATCTGCATGGCACATGGTAATTAAAAGCACCAGAGTGGTGGAACTAAGCTTCTTGGATGTTTAACGGCCATACTATGAGGCCTATACTAATTTGGTCAAAGGGACATAAAGGACAGTTTTTGTTCCTTGCTCTCCTAGGTCAACTAAGTTCCAGGGGACTATGAGCATCTCTCAAAATGTCCTGTAACTGTGGTGAGTCACCTGTCCTCTTGATCAAGGAGGCCATGGAGACACCACCAGATGGACTTGAACCAGTGTCCAGTCTACAAAGAGGAGGGTCAACACGGAGGAAACATTTCCTCCATGCTTCCAAGCGAAGCCAGCCATGATTGAGCTAGACCTTTGACTTATCTTCACATAGATGGTAGTGATCAAAGAATGGAGCCAGGGGCTCCTCCCAAGCCCATGTGACCCCTGAGGAACAGATCCTCAAACAACCTTAAGAGTAAAAATTAATTGGTTGATCTGGGCCAATTGTAGGGTCTTAAACACCCAAAAGGAAAGTATAACCCAAATTAATGAGGTCAATATAATTTTTTAAGAGTCCATATGTATAGCTAAAGGCTACGTAACAAGAAACAATGCCAGACAGGAGATACCTTCCTTTGAGTTATTGGCCAGAGTGGCCCAAAAGACTCCCTGACAGCAACCCAGCATAGAATTGGGAAAATGAACAGCAGACCCCAATCATTTCTAAAGGAATATTGACAACTGATTGCTGCTAGATGAGGAAGAGCTGCTCTTTCTAAAACAAGGATCTCTAGATAGGCTGACTAGATTCAGTGGATGGAGAGGCACTGGGGAATGGCTGGGGGCACTGACAACGCAGTGGACAGTAACAGGGATGACAGAGTATATGGGCTCCAGTGGTGGGGGAGGCTGTGGGAGGGTGCCATTTGGGAAGTGGGTATATAGATGAATAAGATTGTTTGGGATGTTTTGTATGATATACACACAAAAAAATCAACAAATTAAAAAAGACATATTTGAGGAGGAAGCATACAAATTTACTTAATATTAATTAGTAGAAGTGATAAACATTACCATTGAAATCTACCTGATGACTTTATATCCATACTCGGGTACCAAGGATCTGAGTGTAACTGAGTGTGACTAGTAATAACCAGATACATAGAGATAAAAGACACATGTAGAAACATGTAAGTGTTAGTAGCATTAAAAATGTAGGAAACAGCATATTTTAAAATGAAATGGAGATCTTCTTTAAAGGGTAAAAACTCAGTTTTATGTCTTGCAGGGTTTATGGTAAGTTCAATATTGTATAACTGTATTAATTCAACTGTGAACCTAAAAATTTACAGCCACTTTTGAAAGAGATATATCCTTGCTCAGGAAATTGTTACTGAATATGTTAAAGCTGTAATGAAATGCTTCTTCTAATCATGGGTTATTAAATTAAAAAATAATTAAAAAAATAAGAAAAGGTCTCTTCATAGCCCCATCTGGCCCTGAACTGCTCTCTTCCTGCTTAAACTTGTTGAGTGCTGGGATTGCAGGTATGTGCCACGATATCCAGCTTCCATTTAGGTCAACTATGATCAGGAATAGACTTTTGCGTCTGGAATGAGGTCATAGTTAATCTCTCTCTTTCATCCCCCGCTGATGGCATGCATTGAAAACAAACCCTCTTCTATTGTGCTGTATGTAGAGTTACCTTTGCTAATAGCAAAGCGATGTGTGTGTGTGTGTGTGTGTGCGTGTGCGCGCATTTGTGTGTATGCATGCTGCTGTGCTCATGCCACAGCAAGCATGTAGAGGCCAGAGGACAGGGTGTCAGTCTTGTCTTCCACCTTGTTGGAGACACGGTCTAATTATGGATGCATACACCAGGCTAGATGACCTACAAGCTTCTGAGCATTCTCCTGTCCCTGCCTCCCATCTCCCCAGAGGCTTGCTGGAGTTATAGATGCTTGTGTTATTGTGTCTGACTTTTCATGGGTTTCACAGGGTCAAACTCAGGTCTTCACACTTGAAAGGCAAGTGCTCTTACCCACAGAGTCATTTTCCCAGTCCCTTATTTTATCTTATTTATAAATTATTTTTTGTACAGTGTCTATACATACATATATATATATAAATATGTATGTGCACACATGCATGCAGGTGCATGTACACACGTGTGTGAGACCAGAGGTTGATATGTCGAGTGCGTTCCACTGTTGTCCTTTACCTTATCTTTTAAGACATGGCCTCTCACTGAACCAAGAGTTCGCCAGTTAGCTAGACTGAACTCTGGTGATCTGCCTATCTCTGCCCCAGCAGTGCTAAGGTTACAGACACACCTGACCTCACTCTACCTTTATTCTATTTATTTTATTTTAAGATATGGAACACTTCACGAATTTGCATGTCATCCTTGCGGAAGGGTCATGCTCATTTCTGTACTGTTCCAATTTTAGTATATGTACTGCCAAAGCGAACACCACGTTCCTCTTTATGTGGGTGCTGGGTACCAAATTCAGGCCGTCATGCTTGCATGGCAGTCACTTTATTCACTGAGCCATCTGCCCAGTCCCACTGACATTTTAACTCTATTAGGTTGGTGAATATGACGGACCCTTCTGTGTGTCTTTGCTTTCATTCTTCATTGACATCTCACAATAATGTCATAGTTTTCTTTTTAGGTGTGTTTTTCACATTTGCTAGATTCATTTTATTTTTTGGAACAGATTGTACACTTTATAACCTAAAACTCATTTTTAAATTGTTAGTATGGTATATAGGATTTTTATATGTTGATCTTGATATTTTAAGTACAGATCTCACTTTTCACTTACCACTTTTTATTGTAAAATGCTTTAGATGTCTTTTTTAAAAAAGTATCATGATGCCTATGAATGGCTGAGTATATAAATGAACATGGCTTGATGAAATTTTAAAAATTATTTTATTTATTATTTTTATTTTATGTGTACAAGTGTATTGCTTACATATGTATATGCACCTGTGTTGTGTAATGCCTGAGGAGGTCAGAAGAGGGCGCTGGATCTTCTGGAACTAGAGTTACAGACAGTTGTTAACTGACATATGGGTGCTGGGATTTGAACCTGGGTTTTCTGCAAGAAGAGTCAGTGCTTTTAACCACTGAGCCATCTCTCCAGCCCTGACTTGATAAATTAAGCAGACTTCATTTCAATACTATAACAAGAGGGTTTTAAGCCTCACCATTTCACACCCACAAAACCCAATTCAAGGGCATTAATGGTCTCTGAAAACTGATCAGCTTTTTGCAAGTAAACCATGTTTGGTTTTTTTTTTTTTTGTTTTTCCTAGAAGCCTTGTACACATGCCCATGCTTAAGGACATTAAAATCTAAGATATACAGCTCATTATTAGAGGTGATTACAGGCAATATACAATGACAACAACCATTAAGTATAGCTAAGAATTTTTCTGTATCAACCAAGTGGATAATCAAATTTTGCAGCAACTCAAGTATTCCCAAGCAATGAACATTTCTGTCTATGGCATTCACGTTACTATGCAGTTTTCTAACTTAAGAAAGTCATGATGACTGGAAGCAAAGAAGAGCCTTGTAGTGAGTAGATGGCTTCATCACGAGTGCCTAGGATGAACTGTTAAACACTGCTAACAGACAACCTGAGAATTTAAGATATTCCTGAGTTCTTGACGGTGTATTTTGATTTAAATACTACATTGACAAGCCAGTGGCCAGAACGGTTTGTGAACTGAGGTGCTGCTTCTTCAAGTGCCATGAGAACATGACAACAGTGAAGTTTTGCAGTGAGGTTAATGCATGGCAACAAAATATTTTGTAGAATTTGAGGTTTTGACTGGTTTTTTAGTCAGTTCCTGTGCTGGATAGCTTTGTCACCTTGGCACACTTGGGTTGAGGGAGCATCAGTGGGGGAATTTCCTCCATTGGACTGGCCTGTGGCCATGTATGTGGGGCATTTTCTTGATTGTTGAGTGATGTGGGAGGGTCCAGGCCACTGTGGGTGGTGCCACCTTGGGCAAGTGGTCCTGTATTGTATAAGAAAGCAGCCTGAGCACAGGACAGAGGAGCAAGCCAGTAAGTGGCGCTCCTCCATGGCCTGTGCTCCAGGTTCCTGGCCCGAGTTCCTGCCTTGGCTTCCCTTGTTGATGGATAGTGCTATAAGTCAAACGAACCCTTTCCTCCCCAGGTTGGTATTGATCAGAGTGTTTTGTCACAGCATTTGAAGGCAAACTAGAACAGTTCCTTTATCTGATTCTTCTTTTTCAGCAGTTTGCAGTCAAGGAAGCCACAGAGTCACCAGAAACAAAGCTTTGTGTTTTCTCAGGGTCACATGACTTTTCCTGGGCAAAGGGGGACATGAAAAGACATCTAATGACCCCCAGGTCGGGCACCAATGAAAAGCCAAGGAAACAATTCCATCCAAGTCCAGTTATGTCTTCTTTCCAAGCCAAGACGTTTTTTGTTCAGTTATTTCCATGTCCTAGGAGTGAACAAAAAGTGGCGCATCACGCCTTTGGCAAGTTGCTGTGGTCACAGCATACCCGAAGAGCACACAAGGCACAGACTTATTGATGTGTGATCATGAAGGAATTTCTGCATTGTTGGCATTTCTGAAAGATGCGTTTGTTTTTCCTGCTCCAACTGTTCCTTGGAAGGAGCAGAGGAAGAATCTGTGTCATCACTGGGTGTGTTTCCATCATTAGAAATGCACTGTAATAAGCCACTCACCGAGATGTTCACAAATCTTTTTATCTACATGAAACTTGAAAGTAATACTGTCATTAATCCATTCACATATGGTTTGAAGGATGGATCCAACTTTTCTGATTGTGTTTCAACAATTCCTTCTTCAAATAGAGGAATGAGAAGGAACTCAGTCTCTTTCCTTCTAAAATCTTCAGCGTGTGATCCCTATTCTGATCAATTTCTGGGAGCATTTTCTGCTTATTGATCTTGCTTTGTTGTAAAAAGCCATTCTGAATCTTAAAATTCAGATAATTGCTGGAAATAAAGGAAGAAGAAAACTGGTGCCATGTTCCATGTGCCACATGGTTGAACATGTGGAGTGTTTATGAACTCTTAGTGGATTTCTTATGTATCCAATCATGCCACCTACAAATAATAATGGTCTCACTTCTTTTAAATTCTAATTGCTACAGATTTTCTTTCACTTGATTGAAAAAAATTTATTAATTTATTTTTACTTATGTATATGAGTGTTTTACTTACATGTAAGTGCACGGTGTCTGTGCTATGCCTGTGGAGGCCAGAAGAGGGTGTGAGATCTCAAGAAACTGAAGTTACAAATGGTTATTAGCTTCCATATGGGTGCTGGGAACCAAACCCAGGTCCTCTGCAAGAGCAGCCAGTACTGTTAACCACTGAACCATCTCTCCAGCTCCTCTTTTGCTTGATTTAGAATCTAGAACATCGTTGTTTAGCAGTAGTGATGTGGGCATTCTAATTTTATTCCCTGGTTTAATAGGAAAACATTGAATATTTTACTACTAAATATTACATTTTTAAAATAAAAAGATGATCTCTTCCCTTCTATTTCTGGTAATCTAAGAATTTTTAAAAATCACAAGTGGATTTTATACTTTATTAAAAGATTTTTCTTCTTTATTCTGTCATTACCCATGAATGTTGTTGGATGTAATGTGGATTACAATAATTGATTTCATAACTTTTATTGTAATAAAATTTACTTAACATCAAAATTGTCCACTTTAACCATTCTTAGATGGTATTTGTAGTCACATTAAGTACATTCCTACTACAGCATCTCATTGCCATCTCAAGCAGAAGTGCTGTAATCAATAAATAATAAGTCTCTGGCTGGGCAAGGTGGCACATGCCTTTAATCCCAGCACTTGGGAGGCAGAGGCAGGTGGATCTCTGTGAGTTCAAGGCCAGCCTGGTCTACATAGTGAGTTCCAGGACAACTGGAGCTACAGGGAGACCCTGTCTCAAAAAAAAAAAAGTCCCTAGTTTCCTTTTCTCTCAACCCCTGGTAACCTTTAATATATATATGGTACTATTCTAGGAATTTTATATAAATAAAATCATATGACATGTGTGATTTTGTATGCTTTATTTTCTTGCAAAATATCCTCAGGTACATCGTGTAGAGTGTATCACAGCTTCATTCTTATTGTAAATGTTCATTCTTTATTTATGTAGCATGAGGGTACGTGTGTGCTACCAGGCGTCTTAAATTTCTTTATCATTGTGTATGTCTTCCTTCATGTACTAGTTACTTTTCTTACCACCGTGACAAAATAGCCAACAAAAGCAGCTTAAGGGAGGAAGGGTAACTTTTGGCTCTCCAGTCCATCATGGTGAGGAAGGCATGGTGGCCAGAGTGTGAGATGACTGGTTACATTGCATCTGCACTCAGGAAGCAGAGAGCGGAATGCTGGTGCTTGGCTCACTTCATCTTTTTATTCAGTCCCAGACCTCAGACCATGGAATGGGGGCATCCATGTTCAGAGTGAGTCTTCCTTGATCACTTATATTTTTTCTGGAAATGCCTCATATGCAGGCCTTGAGCATGTTTCCATGGTGATTTTAAATCTCATAATATTGGCAAGGAAGATCAACCATCACCCTGCAGGTTTTCATTTTTTGAAGCTATGTTGTTAGGTGTATATATCTTCAGAATTATTATATTTTCTTGGAAAATTCACATTTTTACTACTATGAATATCTCATTTACCTTTAGTAATGTTGCTTGCTTTAAACTTTGCCTGTTTGATATTAAAATAATCATATACTTTTTTGTTAGCATTCCCAAGATTATTTTTTTCTGTCTTTCATTCCTAATGTCTTTATGCCTTTACTTTAGGGTATGCACCTTATAAGCTACATAGCTTTTGGGGTTTGTTGTTGTGGTGTTGACAATATCTCTCATTTAATTGGAGGCATTTATTCTGGCTATTCTTAATGTAATTACCGAGCTAATTGTATTTATACCTATCTTTTTAAAATTTATTTTAATTTTATGTGTATGAATGTTATGCCTGTGTGTATGTAAGTGCACTGGTGTAGTACAATGCCCACGGAGGACAGAGGAGAGCATCAGATCCCTTAGAACTTGAGTTACAGATGGTTGTTAGCTGCCATGTGGGTTCTGGGATTTGAACCTGGGTCTTTTGAAAGAACAGCCTATGCTCTTTACTGCTGAGCAATCTCTCCAGCCCCATATTTACCTATCTGAATATTTGTTCCCTTCTTGTTCACCTGTTTTATGGTTTATTTCTCTCTTTTTTGGCCTTATTTTCCTTGAAGCAGTTTTTATTATTCCATTTTCCTTGTATTAGCTTATCAGATACTTTAGCCTACTATTCTTATACCCAAGTTGGTATGTTTGAGATTCCAATACCATTCCTTGACTTCTCTGCATTTTATATAATCCATACTGCACCCTAAAATATGCCACTTAGATGTACACTGTTTTGTTTT